GGCGGCGCCCAGAACGGGGCCGGCGGCGAGGGCGGGGAGGGCCCGATGGATGTGGACGGGCCCGCGCCGGGGGCGGGAGGGGCAGAGAGCGGCAGCAAGTGAGGAGGGCCCGGCATTGTGGGTCGCGCAGTAAGGTTTTCGAGCAGCAAGCTTTGGGGTTTCATGCAGAGGCTTCGTTTCGTCACTGTCGCAGCTGTTGCGTTTGCTGGTGCTCTTCTGGCATGTACAAAAACGAGTGAAGCCGCGAGTGTTAACAAGCCTCTGGCCCCTGAATGCGTCATCCAAGGCGTGCGGTTACAGCGGCACGAGCGGCAGGAGCGAAGGTGTGAGCAGCCGGCCAGCATATGCAAGGGCGGGCTGTTGGAGACCCGATGCCCCAAAGATGGCCAGGCGCTGCAGTCTCAATGTGACTCAGATGGGCTGAAAAACAATTGCTCAATGTAGCAATCGGTAGCAGCAAGAAGGCAAGCAGGCCGCTGCGCCGGTTTTCCACACGGTGTCTGCATGTGCAGTCACCCGTGGCCCATGGAGCACAGCGACGGGGCCACATCAGCCCTCAAAAAATGAAAATTCAAGCAACTCATGCCGCCTGCACCAGCGCCGGCGCCACGGATGCGGGCGCCGCAGCAGCTGCTGGCGCTGCATCCGCCGCTGCCGCCGCCGCACCACCCGCCGCGCCCGCCCCCGCCCCTGCCCCCGCCGCCGTGCCAAGGGGCTGCCACTGCCGCTCGCCGTACGCCGCCACCATCGCCGCCGCACCGCCCGGCACCGTGGACGCCCCCTTGAGGCTCATATGGTTGACGAGAACTGGGTCCTCGGGGCCGCCCTGGCGCCAGTGCTCGCGCACAAGCTCCTGCGCGCGCGCAAGCAGCTGACCGCCGCTGACATCAGCGACTTGGGCGCGCAGCAGGGGGCCGCAGGCGGCGCGGAGCTTGGGAGAGCCCGAGAAGAGGTACTTCAGGGCCTGGTTCGGTGTGATTGTGTGTGTATGATTGGGTGTGTGTGTGATTGGGTGTGTGTGTGTGTGTGTGTGTGTGTCAGTGAGTTGTGTCCATGTGTGCGTGTGAGTGGATGTGTGCTGTGTGTGGGATTGAGAGAGAGAGAGAGACAGAGAGAGAGAGAATGTGTGTCTGTTTTATTTGTGTGCATGTGTTGTGTAGGTGTGTGAGCACGTGTGTGTGTGTGTGTGTGTGTGTGTGTGTGTGTGTGTGTGTGTGTGTGTGTGTGTGTGTGCATGTTTGTGTGTGCGCGTGTGTGTGTCTGTGCGTGCGTGCGTGCGCACGCGTGTGTGTTCAGATAGGGGTCTCAGTCGTCACCAAAGGAGAGCCCGTAAACTCATTGCTGTTGGGGAAGGGTGACACGAGAAGGCCAGGCCGGCGGTGCGAGCCTCTTCCATTGGCCTCCTTGAATGGCCGCACGGGCATGGCAGCGTGGGCGGCGCGGCGCAAAAGGTGCTTTCCCAGGGGCGGGCCAGCTGTCTCACCTTTTTGAGGCGCCCAGGCCGCGCCTGGTCGCTCTGGGGTGCAGTCAAGGGAAGGTGGATGGTCGAAAATGAACCGGTCAGACACCGCCGGCGCGGCCGTGAGTGAGAGCAGGTAATCCAAGGTGCTGGCTGGGAGAGGGTGTGCGTGACAAGGCTGGCGCTGCAGCATGTGGACAGCGTTCGGCCAAACAGGCGAAAAGACGTGCTGTGGACCGGACCTTTCCTCACACCGCACAACCCCAAGGCCGCCCCCGCCCCGTGGAAGCACTCACGTAGGCCGCCGCCGTCTCGTACCGCCCGTCCGGCCCTGTTGACGCGTACCGCTCCAGGAAGCTACAAACCGCCTCCGCCTCGTCCGGCCACACGTCCCGCTCCCACCCCAGCCCGCCGCCGCCGCCGCCTTGCCCCTGACCTTGCTGCTGCCCCTGCCGCTCCTGCCGCCGCCGCTCCGCCGCCGCCGCCTGGTCTGCCGCGAAGGAGGCGCGGATCCGATGGAACACGAGGGGGTCGCTGATGGCGCCGCGCCCCACCATGATGCCGTCGCAGCCCGTCAGCTCCAGCAGCTTCCTGGCAGTCGCCGCATCCACCACGTCGCCGTTGCCGATCTGGAGGGCGGCGATGACGTCACGGTGACAACGCGTGACGCGGCGGCGCGGCGCGATCGGCACGTGTGCTTTTGCATAGGCCAAGCGCCGTTCTAGCGCCTATGATGGTGTCAAATACAAGGTCTGACACACTGCGCCAAGGGCATGCACATGGCACTTCCTGCACGACCCGCCCGAGAGCCCAGGAGGCGCGTTCCAGATAACACCCCACCACGGGAATGTCCAGCAGCGCCTTGGCGCGCGCCACGAGCGACCAGTCAGCGCCCCCCGCGTACGCCTGCCGCTTGGTGCGCGGGTGCAGCGTCACGAAAGCGGCGCCGCCGGCCTGCGCCGCGAGCAGCGCGTCCTCAAACAGGCTCGTGTCGTCGAAGCCGGACCGCATTTTGACGGACACGGGCGCGGCGCCCTCGACGGCCTCCACCAGCGCAGCCACGAGGGCCTGCATGCGGTCGGGCGTCTTGAGCAGCCTGGGGGGGCGAGGGGCAGGGGACGCGGGCCGTGGCTTGAAGTGGGGGTGCCCGAGGGTTGACGAGACGCCGGCCGCAGAGGGCCGGTGATGGGGAGGCGCGGGTGCAGCACAGCTGTTTGGGCGCAGGGTGATTGCGATGGCGGGCCTCAAACAGGAACAGCAGCCCGACCCCCCACCCAGATAACTTGGGTTGGAGGGTGAGGGTTGCTGAGGCAGGCGATTGCAGGAGCTGTTCGAGGTTGCGAGCGCATCCCTTGCCGAACCCGCAGCCGTAACAAGCGCGGGTCCCGTCGCGGCCGCCGCGGCAGCAGGCACGAGCGCAGCCGCCGCGCCACCCACGTGGAACCGGCGCCGTTGCCCGTGACGCTGTTGGCGGGGCACCCGCAGTTCAAGTCGACGCGCGGCGCCCCCAGCTCCAGCGCCAGCCGCCGCGCCGCCGCCGCCATCAGCCTAACCTCGGACCCCATTATCTGGGCCCCCAGCGGGACCCCCCACGGCGCGAGCTCGTGCGCGGAGTAGCCGGCGGTCACGCCGCGGATTACGGCGGCGGGGCGGTCGGCCTTGGAGGGGACGCGGATGAACTCGGTGCAGGCCTCGTCGAAGCCGCCGGCGGCGGAGGCGAGGGCGGCGCGCATGGGTGCGTCGGCGAGGTTCTCCATGGGGGCCAGGAACAGGGCTGGGCAGGCGTCGGGCTGCGTGCGGCGCCTTTGGATGGGTTTAAGAAGGGCAAGAGGGAAGGATTGTTGACGTTTCGGTTGGGTGGGGGGGAGGATAGCGAGGTGTTGGTGGCTCGAGGATGCGAGGTGTCCGGGCGTGGACAACAGCTCGCGCCGTGACCGAACGTGCTGCTTGCGCGCCGGCTGGGGGGGGAGCATGGTGCGCCCCGCACCTGTTCAAGAGCCCGAGGTAGTCGACGCGCGGCGCGGCGTGCGCGGCGCCGGTGGCGTCATTGGCGTGCGCCGCTCCCGTATTGCTGCAGATAGCCACACCCACGCTTGCGAAAGCCGCCGCCGTGCGCGGGCGCCGCGGCGCGGCTCGCCGTCTGCCCGCATGCGATACGGGCGGCGCCGCGCACGCATGGGCGCTCCGGCCAAGCGGCGGTGGGATGGTCCGCTGCATCAAAGCGTGCGGCTTGCAGCGCGAGCGGGGGTGTCGCCGCCGCCGCTTTGGTGGTGCGGTGTAGTCCCCACGGATGCAGCCACTACGAACCGAAAATTCGATGCCAATGGGATGTATCAAGCAGCCCAGACCGTGCCCTAAAATCCCTGCCGGTGTAGGCACTGCCCTCCTGCTGTGAACCAAAGCAAGCGTCGTCAAACCTGTCGTGGGGCTTGATTATGATAACTCGCTAAAAATCGGTATCCAGCGTCAAGTCGTATCATATATGATTCATTACAATTGAGGAGGCCACGTGTGTGCGGGTCTCCTGGGCTTGGCTGGGAGCTCAGGAGCGTAGTTCCATCATACTTCATTAGGGTTCAAGCACGAGAAACTGGTACTCAGCCTATCCCGACTGACTGCATAACAGGCAGTGGAGTGGCGCGGGTGCAAAACCAGAACGTCGCGCGCGGGTCTGGTAGCGCGCCTCGCTGCTTGCCGCCTCCATGACCGATGGGAACGGCGGCGCAGGCAGGCAGCCGGCGTGGCTGCGGGCCGCGTCCCTGGTTGCATACAGCCTGAGGTGAGGCAGCGCGCTCGCCGCCGGGAGCCACAACGGGCGCCCTCCTGCATCATCAGCAGCGTTGAGCCTGCACACGTCCGCGCGCCCACCATGCCAACCGCCCCCCTACTGCCGACCCCGCCCGCCCCGCCGGCACGCCCCACCTGCCCTACCCCTGTGCACCCAGCTTCCTTGTGTTTGGCCTGGAGGTGAGTTGGAGCGCATCAATGCGCCGCAATCGCCGCCGCGCGAGCACAGAATCGTGGGTTGCGCCGCGGATGCTTTGTACAACGGCACACGCTCCCGGACGGCCCTCGGGCGCCGCCCCGCTTCCTGATGCACCCGGCCACCTAAATCCACACCGAATCTTTCCCCCACCCCGCTGCGGTGAACGTGCCGTTTTCTGAGCAGGTCAACCTCCTGGGCCCCACCGCCATTGACTTGGCATCGAAGATTGGGGTGGTCGAGGCCGACCTGGTGCGCCGCCGCGCGCCCGCCTCTTGCGGCGGCCGCACCTCCACGTGCGCACACACGCTGCTCCCACACGCTGCACGTCTGCTGCAGTTGCCAGAGCCGCCTCGCTATTGAAAGGGGTATGGCCATAAACTGAGCACCTCAACCACATGCTGCAGTTCAGGGGCCCTCGCTGCACTCCAAGGCGTTGCGAGCGGCGGCTTCTGCCCTGATTTGCAAAACGAACACCCCTCCGCTTCCTCCGGCTGCGCGCGCCACGCACGCAGGGGGTGGTGTTCACGGTCAATGGCCTGATCTCAGTGCTGGGCGCCGTCCCTGCCGGCTGGATGATCGACAACCTGCCAGGCCACACGCTGCTGGCGCTGTCGCTGCTCACGCAGGCAGGCCCACTTGCTGCGACATGCTGTGCTGTGCTGTGCTGTGCTGTGCTGTGCTGTGCTGTGCTGTGCTGTGCTGCGTTGTGCTGCGCTGTGCTGCGCTGCGCTGTGCTGCGCTGCGCTGTGCTGTGCTGCGCTGTGCTGTGCTGTGCTGTGCTGCGCTGTGCTGTGCTGTGCTGTGCTGTGCTGTGCTGTGCTGTGCTGCGCTGTGCCACATGGCTCCGCAGCATGCCTGGCTGTCAGAAGCGAGTAGTTTTGGCCTCTGGGACGTCGCCAGCGGCTCAGGTGTCACACACATCCTGGCCCCAAACCACTGGCAAAAGGGAGGCCCCATCGTCCCAAGTCCCATCTTTGCAGTCAGCCAAACGCCACGCGCCCCTCCAAAGAAACCCTTCGCGGCTCCCATATTGCGCCCCGCGCCCCGCCCCAGGCCGTGGGCATGGTGTTTGTTGCGTCCCAGACGACGCTGCTTGGTGTCGTGCTGGTGTTTGGGGCGTCGGCGCTGACCTGGAATGTGGTCAACACCGCAGGGAACGTGCTGTGCCTTTCACAGTCGCCAGAGGTGCGTCCTCGCGACCCCACCACTCCTCAGCCCTGGCCTTGCGAGGGTGGGGGCAGCTGGGACGCTGTGCACGTGCTTGGTATGGCGGGGGTGCGACGCAGGGCAAGCGGGGGTAAGGAACAGCGGGCTCAGGGGGCTGGTCGATGGAGCTTTCCGTGCATTTGTGGCAGCCGACCGGCTCCAGCGGCGCTGCACATGCGGCATTTGCCCACCTTTGTCTACCGCCCAGCCGCGACGTGGCGCCAGCCAGCGTGCTTGACGTGCCGCTCTGCTACTCTCACATTCCCTCATAATGGCGGGCCGGCCCCCTCCGCTCTCCGCCGCTGCCCCCACAAACCAACCAGGGCCACTCCAGCCTGATGATCAACCTGGTCAACGCGCTGTTCGGCGTCGGCGCCCTCTGCGCGCCGCTGCTGGCGGAGCTCTGCATTTCGCTGTGGGGCTCCACCCTGGCCGCATACCCCGCCACGGCCGCGCTCACGGCCGCGTCGGGGTTGGTGTTCCTGCTGCTGCCCAGCCCGCAGACGCCCGTGGCCGCCGCCGCGGCCGCCTCCTCCGCGGCGGATGGCGCGGGCGCCGCGGCAGAGGCGGGGGAGGGCGCGCGGCAGCCGCTGCTGGCGGCGGCGGACGGCGGCGCGCAGGGGGGCGCGGCGGCGGCGGGCGGGAAGCGGGGCGGCGACGGCGGCAGCTGGGGCGCGGGGCCTGGCGGCGGCGACCCGTGGTCGCCATGGGGCCCCCTGGCGCGCGTGCTGTGGCCGGTGAGCGGCTTGCAGCATTTGCAGATTATGGGAGACGCACACGTGAAGTTTGTTGAGAGCAGGGCGCCATGGCCTGGCAGTGCTGGGCCTTGGCTGCGGACGCGATGCTATGGCTTGCGCCAAGCGACAGCGACTCAGTTTTGCTTGTCGCCAACTCAACCGAACCCGCCGGTACACACCAAACCTTACACTGAAGCAAAGACAACCCAGGATACCCCCTCATCCCTTCACCCTTCAGGCCGCCGCCTTTGTGTTTTTGTCTGTCGGACTGGAGGTCGCCTTCGGCGGCTGGACTACGGTCTACGCCACCCGCTGGCTCGGGCAGTCCGAGGCCGACGGCCACGCGCTGACATCAGCGTACTGGGGCGCCTTCACCGCCGGCCGCGTCGCCGCCGCCGCCGCCGCCGCCGCGCTGTCGCCGTCGGCGCTGCTCCTCGCGTCGATGCCGCTCGCGCTCGCGGGCGGCGCTGCGGCAATCGCGCTGCCGCCGGCGGCGCTGGCGGGCGCGCCGGCGACGGCCGCAGTCGTCCTCGTGGGCCTGGGTGTTTCCACCGGGTTTGCAAACCTGCTGGCCCTTCTAGAGGCCTACTCCCCCATCAACGGCAGCGTCACCGGGCTGCTCAGCGGCTTCGCGGGTGCGGGCACGATGCTCATGCCGCTGGCCATCGCGCTGCTCGCGAAATCCACGCCCCTGGGCTACTCTGGGCTGATGTGGACCACCCTGGTCGCGATGCTGCTGCAGTTTGTGTGCCTGCTGCCGATCATGACGGGCGCGGGGGCCCATAAAAGCGGCGTGCTTGTGCGGGCGCACGACGTGTCAATCCCGCCGTCCGAGGCGGGAGGCGGCGGCGGAGGCGGCAGCGGCGAGGGTGGAGATACTGAGGAGGGGCTTGGAGGTGCGGCACCTGGGGCAGCAATTGCGGCAGCGTCTCGGCGGTGATGCCCGCTGCTGGGGCGCGCTTCAGTGCTTGCTCAGGGCTCTACTGCCGTGCCGCTGCACCCTTGCGACGGTGACCTGCGGCTCTGGAGCAGCACCCGTCCTGCCCTCGCCGGTCGCTCCGCAATGTTTCTTGTGTACATGCCATCGCTCCACCAGTTTTGCAGTGTGTGCCCCTGCACACGCCCCCGCTTCTCTTTGCTGGCATGCGTTGCCCTCGACTGCTGCCTGCCAGTATTCCTCAAGCAATACGCTACCCCCGGGGCGTACGAGCGAGTGTAACGCTCCTGCCGTGATTGTGCCGCCGACACATCACCCTAAACCTGGACATCACATCACATTGCAGTGCGATGCGCACCCCATAACACAGGCTAAGCGTGCTTCTGAGTGGCCATGGCATGAGTATTTGTGCGTGTACAGCCGCATTCAAACCGCATCTCAGCGAGCAGAAATCATGCCAACACCGTGTGGCAACACAGCTGCGCCAATGAGGCACCTCAGGACATAACGCCAGAGCACGGCGCGCCATGACAGTGAGGTCACCATGGTGTCACTTGCCGCCCCGCGGCCAGCCCTCCCCGGCCATGACCGCCTCCACGTCTTCCACGCTGCGGGGGACGTCCGTCAGCGACTCGCAGCCGTCCGCGGTGATCACCACGTTGTCCTCCAGGCGGACTGTTGTTGTGGGGGTTCAGGGAAAGGGAAGTTGAGGAGGCATTTGGGGGGCTTGGGGACGCGATAGGGCTTTGATCGAGCGCGTTGACACAGCAAGGTCCAGAACTAGTGAGGCAGGCAAGCAGCTGCGGCTTGCAATGGCAATAGCCGCTTAGCAATCAAGGCTTGGGTTGACAAGTGCATGGAAGGGTGGATATCGCTGTCACGGCTCATTGTGGTCCAATGCAGTGCGCCGCACCTCCCCCAAAGCGCATGAAGCGCTGGAGCGCATCCGCGTTGATGAACTTCGACCGAGAGGGGTCCTGAGAGGGTTGGGTTGCAGAGTTCGCGACGGCGTCACGTGCGTGCACGTGTGATGCAAGCACTGCGAGGCTTGCGAGAAAGCGAGAGCAATGTGTGGCAGACGCCCAGTCGACAAGCAGCAATCCATCAGCCGATAACGCCGCTGGCCCTTCATTAATCCAATGGCGCCACGTCTCATGACCCTACCAAGCCCCGCCTTTAGGGCACCACATCCTCTCTCCCAACAGTCAGCGTACCCGCTCCCCATGTACCCGGTCCGCCCCTCCCTGCTAAATCCGATTTAGTCAGAAGCCTTGCTTGAACTGGACTTGAGTTGCCCTGTACCCCTTTCCTACACGCCCGTTGCACCCCCTGTCCTCCCGGCCCCCCAAATGGGGCCCTCATCACCTGCAGCGCGGGCTGGATGAGGAGGGGGATGAAGTAGCAGCCCGGCTCCACGGTGATCACCATCCCGGGCTCCATCAGGCGGGCGGTGCGCAGCGACTTGAACCCTGGACGCTGGATCCTGGGGCAGGCAGCGCGCATGTGGGCATGGGATACGGGGGTTTCACTGGTTACTTCGGCACATGGCAGCAGCACGTGGGGCCACGAAGAGGGCAAAGCAACAACGAGGGGGAATTTTGGGCATCCTGTTAGCAGGCTTGGATTGAGCAGCCGAAAGGGTGCCATGGGGTTGGGGAGGGCAGGGGCCGGCGCCGCGCACCGCTCTGGCAGCCCCGGGCCGTAGCCGCCGACGTCGTGAGTGTCGATGCCCAGGAAGTGGCCGAGGCCTGGCGGCAGTGGGGAATTGATTGAGAATTGTTTGGAGGGAAAGGGGATCAACCTTGCGCGTTTGACGCTGAGCAGAACGCTCCCAAACCGCCCCGTCAGGCAGGGCGGAGGCTGCAGGTGCTACCTTGCCGCTGGCGCTGGCAGCCCACCAGGAGCCAGCGCATCCAGCAACAAAGGGATGGGACCCTATGACTGAGCACGTGCCCATGTCAAGTTTCCATCGCCCGCCGCTTGCACAAACGCACACGCGCGTGCACACACAAACGAAAACACGTACACACACACACACACACACACAAACACACACACACACACGAACATGCTTGCACGCACGACGGAGGCACACACACACATACATACATACACGCCCTCAAACCAGCACACACCGTGCGGCATGAAGACGCCCCCCAGCTCGGCCGCGATCATGTCGTCCACATCCCCCTGCAGCAGGCCCCCTTGCTTGAGGCCAGAGAGTATCTTGTGATAGGCCAGCACGTGCATGTCCGGCCACGACACGCCCGGCTTGAGGGCTGCCAGGACGGACTGGGGTTAGGTTTTCAGGGGCCCGGAGTAGTGGTGCAGGGAGGGGGTTGTTTTCGGTGGCCGTATCGGTTGTGGGTTGGCAAGAGAGAGCAGGGTGGAATGGCGGGAGATGTGTGGGGACAGGTTTCACAGGCGTCTGGCCTGGGCAGCGCTGCCGCGTACACGCGTGTCCCCCCCTCGCGCATTGACTGGCAGTGCGAAGCACATGCGCATCAAGACCGCGTATTCAAGGTGACTGGATATCTCATCCATAGTTGCCGGATGTCACCCGTGCGATGACTCACCTGGTGTGCGTCCAGCACCGCCTCGTACACCAGCCGCTGGTCGGGCGTGAACTTCCCAGTGGCGGGGAACGACGTCGTGATGTCTTCAAAGTTGGACAGGCGGAAAGCAGCAGTGTTTAGGGGGGCGATTAGGCAGAGTGGAACGTGTGATTGACGAGCTCCACGCTCCATCCTATTATGTGAGAGTGGACCAGCAGTTGAGTGGCCCCTCACGCTATGGCGTTGGGCTCACACCCCAGGCCTGCTAGCTGTGTGTGCTGCCGTCAAGCATTAGAGATGATGACGAAACAAGCAAGTGACAAACGGTGGCGGCAGCTGGCAGGAGCGCTCGCCACATCCTTCCTGTTGTTACCTGACGTGTAGCGGTGGTACTGGAGGCAGATGAGCAGGCGGGTTGGGCGATGTTTCAAGTGGTGGGTGCCAGGGGACAAAGGGGTGTGAGGAGGGCTAGTGTGGCCTCAAACCACGTCAAGACAGACGTTGCTGACCTCAAAACGTGTGGGTTGAGCCCCTCCGCCTGTGAATGCCAGTCAAAATCGGTTGGCACTGCACACAGGTGTCTGCGCCGTTTATGGCAGCCAGAAGTGTGAAAGATCCCTCTCATGCAGCCCGCTGCCCATGTGTGGCTCCAAACGACTTGGACTCCCACACAACAACATCCCAGCTAGGACGCGTACACGTACACGTGAATAACACACACACACACGTGCGCGCGCGCGTGCGCGCGCACACTCACACACACACACAAACACACACATGCGAACACACACGCGCGCACACGCGCACACGCGCACGTTCACACACGTGCACACACGTGCACACGCTTGTGCTCGCTCATACCTCGCAGCCCATGTCCAGCAGCAGTATGTCGCCCTCCTCTATGCGGCGGTCGTTGGGGGCCGCGGCGTGGCCGTAGTGCAGCACGGCGGCGTTGGGGCCACTGGCGGCGATGCAGGTGTAACCTGGGACACGTCGGGTTAGACATGTGTGAGTGTGTGTGAATGCGAGGAAGGATGGGCTCGGCAGGACAGGCAGAGAATGGACGGGCGGGGGTCAGGACCGGCGGCATGCAGCGCCATGCAGTCGTGCACGTCTGGGCCTCAGAGCCGAGCGACACGAGGGCGGCGCGCTTGGATTGGAAGCGCTGGCACGACGTGGCTGAGCCGGCGTGCAGGAGCTGTCGCGGGCGTGCGCACCCTGGTTGCGCGCTCCGCCCTCAAAGTAGGTCGAGTGCCTGAAGATGCTCTCCAGCTGGTACTCATACAGGCCAGGCTTGCAGGCCTGTTTTGTGAAGGGGGCAAGGGGACATGCGGGTGCACGTGTCTGCCTGTGAGCGGGCCAGGTGGCGAGTGCTGTATTTCTGGGAGGTTGTCAGGGCAGATTGAGGCCTCTGTACCTGAGCGCAACGCATGGCCCTTGGCAGCTGCATGCACGCATGTTTTGTACGGCAAGCCCCAGGCAGAAGCAGCGCCGCCCTTTGTTCCCACCTGCATCATGGCCACGTGCGCCCTGCTGCCCAGCTGGTTGGCGTAGCGCTGCACCTCCACCTCCAGGGGGGACTTGTGGACGCGCGCCTGGCGTGGGGTCGGGCCAGGATGGATGCCTCACACAGGGGTGGATGCTTTAAAGCCGATTCAAACCAGCGCAACGCCGCTCGGCCTTTCCTGCCGCTGCGACCGACGCGGTTGCTGACTGTGCAGAGAGGCGGCTGCCCAGTCTTGCGATTGACCAGCGCGTTCCTGCGTCGGCAGGCGCGCAGGGACTGCGCACTGCCGTGCGCGCGACACGGACATGCGACCGCTGCGCACGACTGCTGCATGTGTGAGCGGCAGCAAGCGCGTCGAACACGGCACGCACCTCTGTGATGGCGGGGAACAGCCCGGCCGTCTCGTACTCCACCGCCTCGAGGCCCTCCGGCTTTGGCGGCGGCGCGACCGCGCTGCCGCTGTCGGTGTTGGTGCCGCTGAGCACGTGGAGGCAGGGGGGCGCGTCCGAGATTAGCACCGCCGCCAGCTCGTCCACGTACGCCACGCGGTCCACTGCATACTTTGCCTTGTAATGGTCTGTTTGGTCGGCAGGGAAGTGAGGGGGCAAGTTGTCTGATTGGCAGACTTTGGGGTGTGTGCTCTGAAGTGCAGAGGTTTGCGAGCCTTCGAGTCTGTGGTCATTGTTGTGGGCCCCAGAGAGATTGCTTCGCAAACTTGGGACCAATTCCAAAGCTGAGCTAAACTCAGGGCATGCCAGCGCCTGTCAGGGCCGATTGCCCAGGGGTTCCAGTTCCACTATCACCCGGCCCCCACGCAGGCGTGCCTGAGCGACGACCGCAAGTCGTGAGCATGCACCCATCGGATGCGTGCTACCCGCGCAGGCTGTAAAGGGGAGGACCAGCGCAAGTCTATACAAGAGCAGAGCCTCGTTTGAGCCGCGGTACCGGGGCCGCGGCGCACCTGGCCCGTGCAGCTCCCCCATCCAGACGCCGTACGCCTCGGGCAGCCGCGGCATGAACAGCGTAGACGCGCCCTGGGCGGGGGTTCCGAATCGAAGCAAGGCAGCGAGCGCGGCCGGCAAGAGGCGCACTTTTGGCGCACCGCATGGCAGGTGTGGTCAGCGACAAATCCGGCTGGGGCGAGCAGTTTAAGAAGGGAGCCGCTCGGAATCAAGTCTGTGCCGCCGGATCCAGCCGTTCAATGTTAGTGGGAGCAATACGCCAAGACGCGCCGGTAGCTGGCTCCTGCGCCCGCGATTGCTGCCGTGCCTCTGCTTCTCCCTCCAGTCGCTTCCAGAGTCCCCGCCCCCCCTCTTGTCGCCCAAACCCACATTGCGTGTGTCGACCGCCCCCCAGAAGCCCTCCTCGATGACCCCAAACAAGTAGTGAAAGTATCCCTCCTGCCTGGCGGGTGCAACCATGCAGCAGACGCAACAGCATCAGGACCGCCAGGCCAAGGGACATTGTGCTGCCAAGGGAGCAGGGAAGGGACCCACACGTCCTGCGTTCAACCATCAAAGGCGTTTGTGCCTTGGCCTTTGATCGAGCACCTCCACTACCAATGCGCCCGGGAATTTGATGTTGACAATTCCTGTCTCAAGCCCCAAGCCCACTTGCCTGAAGAGTATCTCGCCGTCTGTTGTGTAGACGGGAAGCGCATCACCGCCCTGGGGGTAATCGGGGATGGTCTAGGTGTGTGGAGCAGTCTAGTTTACCAGGGCACAAAAACCGACAACACACTGCATTCCACCAGCCTCCGAAGCCAGCCATTCCCTACCTGGCGCCCTGCCGTTCAAACCACAACTTAGCCGGCACAAGACTCGGTGCTGTTTATCACAGGCCCAGCCCCAAACTTCTGAAGGGAATTGACTGTGCAGCTGCCGCCGCCGCTGCAAGCTTGAGGGAATTGCCCACCTTGAGCAAGATGATGCCGCTTGCAGTGCCGGACTCTTTCATCCGCCTCACAACGTCGGCGCGCGCGCCGCCGTGCAGCTCCCTCCGGCACACCCTGCCGTGGGCAGGGGTCAGGGTGCACAGCTTGCGGGTGCTTGCATGTTCCGCCGCGTGCTGCGTGCTGCTGCACCCCGAGAGGCGGCACAGCAGGCTGACGCCAACACTGCCAGACCACGGTGACTCGCCCCGTTCGTGCACGGCGCGTTGTGCACATTACAAGCTTTGAGATAGACCCACTTGAGGGAGCCCTGGCCCATCGAGTAGAAGCACGGCGGGTCCGCCATTGGCGCGCTGCCACCACTGCTGCCCGTGCTGCTGACTGGGGTGACCGACGAAGCGGCACGGCACAGCTTTCGCAGGTAAGGCCTCGCCTTGAGGCTGACGCGAGAGACTGCTGAATAGCCGACAGCACGGGCGATAGAGGCGCTGAGCATGCGGCACAGACGGTCAGATCGCAGGTTTAGATCTGGTACCCCGTGATCTGCGAGTTGTGAGTAAAGAATTACTTATATGCAGGGGGCGCAAGATCTTACACGGATTGTGGATGACGCTGCAGCCTGTGGTGGGTGAAGCCAGCATTGCAGGCTTGCCAGCGCTTTTGCTTTTGCAGTTGGTGGCCCAGTGTGTGTGGTGGACCCGCTGGAGCTGGTGCACGCGGTCATGGCTTCAATGTGAAAGGCTGCATCATGATGTACACTACTGGTGACATCTTGTTGAGCTTGATGGTTGATCGCTGGCTAGTATACGTGGTGTGCCTCCTGGTCAAAACTAGGTCAATCTCAAAACAACCAAGCAATTGCTTGAATATGTTTGCCATGTTCCTTGCGGTGCTGTTGACTACAATGGTGGTGCAAGCTTGTGGTCAACAATTTGCGTGGTTTCTTGATGATGTGACAATTTTGCACCATCTTATGCTGCGTGCAAGGATTTCCAGCACCTGCCTGATGTGGCTGCGGCAACAAGGACACCCCGGGCTTCCTGTGAATCGCCCTGCAGAGGACTCTGACGTCTGAGCTCCAGTCATGGCGGTGTCCCTACCAACACGCGCCAGCTCCTGGCCTTTTCATCGTCAGTTGCGCTGCCTTGGTCAAGCATTTATCCCATGCCAAGCCAGCAGCCAAGCCCCATGGCTCATGTGCGGAGCACACTGCATCCACCACTTGAAGCCTCACTGGAGCTCAAGAGCATTAGGTTTGGCCCTGGGATACGAGCAGATTTTGCAGACAAGACAGATAGACAACAGCAGATCATGCCAGTAAATTGGCACCAAGACATATGCCATTAGCCTCCAAGAGCAGCTGCAGGCCTGTGAGACAGTGGTGTGGTCCCAGTCCAAACTCTCGACAGGCAGATGAAGCAGACGGGCAGCCATCATGCCGGAGCCGCCACCTCCTTGCACGTGCTTCTGCGCCTTTTTGCTCTCCACACCGCATCACAAGCATCATCCTATATGCGCATACCGCCCTCATGCGCGTGCCCCTAGGTCAGGCTGCGCTGCAAACCTGCAATCCAATACTGCATCCTGACTCGACAAGCCGTCACCAGTATGACGGTCTGGTGACGCTGGCTCATTGATGAACAGCCGCGTTACCACCACGAGGGCATGTACAATAAACATGCATGCGACCCAATTGGGGCAGCATCGGTTCGCGTTGACATCTCGAACGGGCCTTTCCGACCAGGCTCACAAATCTATATTGTCTAGCCGACACATTTCACAACGATTGGATGCGACACAACAAAAGTTTCATACTCCTTCCCGGCAGCCGGCGACCTCCAGGTGAGCTCCAACTGTGCGTAGCGGGCGGTCGCTGCCAACCGATGCGCTCCGGTCCCGCGGCGCTCGGCTGGCGCGGCCGAGGCGCGCTCATCCTCCCTACGTCCCCCCCGGGGCTCGACGCAAACGCAGGCAGCTGCTGCACCTCTCGCCGCACCCACGGCCCCCTCGGACCCGCACTCCACCCCGGCCTGCGTCAGCCGCGCTTGTCATGGCCCCCGAGGCACAGGCAGCGGGCCCTGTTGAAGAGGCGGAAGTCCTCATCGCCGGCACAGGCTTCAGCGGCATAGGCACCGCCATCCAGCTGCAGCGCGCGGGGATCCGCGACTTCCTTTTGCTGGAGCGCGCGGCCGCCGTCGGCGGCGTCTGGCGGGACAACACCTATCCGGGTGGGTCCAGTTTGGGCCCGTCGCGGGCAGCGGCCCCTGCCAAGGGCGGCGCCCACGCCGCCGCGCCGCTGCTCGCAGCACGCGGGCGCCGGCGGCGCGTGCGCCGTCTTGAGCTTTGGCGCGCGCGCCTCGGCACTGCACCCAAACCCCAATATGCCCCCGCTCTGCCGGCACACCCACACACACTGCACCCGCTGCTCCCCCTCCTCCACAAAGGCGCCGCCTGCGACATCCCATCGCACCTCTACTGCTTTAGCTTCGAGCCAAACCCCGACGCCAGCCGCACCTACGGGCGCCAACCGGAGATCAAATCATATCTAGAGTCCCTCATTGATAAGCACGGCCTCAGGGACAGGATCCGCTTCGGCGCCGCCGTGGCGCGCTCGGTATGGGACGACTCCGAGGGCCGCTGGAATGTGCAGTGCGCCGACGGCCGCCGCTTCCGCGGGCGTTTTCAGATCATCGGGGCGGGGCCGCTCAGGGACCCCCGGTGGCCGCAGGTGAAGGGGCTGAGGGACTTCAAGGGCTCGCTATCCCACTCCAGCCGGTGGCCCGAGGGCGGCCTCGAGGCGCTGGCAGGCAAGCGGGTCGCCGTCATCGGCACCGGCGCCTCGGCGGTCCAGATCGTCCCCGAGATCTCCAAGGTGGCCGCCCAACTTCACGTCGTGCAGCGCACGCCGGCGTGGGTGTCGCCGCGCATCGATACAGAGTACAGCGCCTGGGCAAAGTGGGCGTTCCGGCACGTGCCGTTCGTGTTGCAGGCGCACCGCTTCCTGATCTGGCTGGCGCACGAGATCCGCTACCCGATGCTGTTTTCGGACGGCAAGTGGCGGCCGGTCTTCGCCAGGTCGATAGAGCGGCAGCTGAGGGAGTGGATCAAGATGGAGGTCGGGGACGAGGGCCTGGCGGCGGCGCTGACGCCCAGCTACGCGCCCGGCTGCAAGCGCATCTTGTCGTCCTCGGGTGCGAGGCGGGCGGGCGCTCGGGGCCCAACCTGCTGCGCTGTTCGTCTGATCGTCGCACTCACTTGGTTGACCGCTACGCTCGTCATCTGCATCTGACCGCTGCACCGGTTGGGACTGCTGCACGCATGTGGGTCGCGTGCTGTGCGTGAGGGACTGGATGAACCATCTCAAGGGCTTGAACCACAGTCAGCCAGAAGCAAACTGCTGAAGTCCCGTGCCTCTGCCTACTCACAAGCAAGCACCACACGATTGCTGGAAGCAGCGGTGCTGCAGTGCCCTCCATACTGCCCGCAAACCAGCTGATTGGCGGCCCCTTGCGAGCGCCTCACGTGCCCTTGCACGCCTCAACAGTCCACAACTCCCCCTTCTTATCCCCCACACGGCCCTGCCCCACGCCACCCCCGCAGACTTCTACCCTGCGCTGCGGCTCCCCAACGTGTCGCTCCACACCCAGGCCGCCACAGAGGCCACCCCTTCCTCCCTCGTCCTGGCGGACGGCACTAACCTAGAAGTCGACGCCATCATATGCGCCACCGGCTTTGTCGTCGACGCGCCGCTCGCAGCCGTCACCATCGTCGGCCAGGGCGGCGTCGTGCTGTCCGAGGTCTGGGGCGCGCGGCCGCGCGCCTACCTCGGGGTGACGATGCCAGGGTTCCCAAACACGTTTTTCGTGATGGGGCCAAACACCGGCCTCGGGCACAACAGCATGATCGTGATGGCCGAGGCCCAGATCGGTTACATCGTGCAGGCGATCTCCAAGGCGCGCGCGCGCGGGCCCCGGGCGTGGGTGGCGCCGAGGGAGGGGAAGCTGGACGGGTTCGTGGCGGAGTGTGACAGCCGGCACCGCGGGCTGGTGTGGGCGAGCGGCTGCAGCAGCTGGTACCTAAACGAGGCAGGCGAGAACTTCTCGCTGTACCCCGGCAGTACCGCGGAGTACATCTGGCGGATGCGGCGGTTCGATTCCGAGGCGTACATCCACGGGGAAGCCCCGGGCACCGGTGGCGGCAAAGTGGAGGAGGAGGCAGAGGCGGGGGCGGGAGAGGGGACAGATGCGGGGCGCGCCGCGCCGCAGCTCGTGCAGCGGCGGCGGGGGGTGTCGCCGCTGCTTTGAGGGGCATGGGGCCCTTGTTTGCGCTGACTGGTGAGCTGCTTGCTGGCTCCCGCCCGCGCGTGCTTGGTATAAATAGCTAGTTGTGGCTATTTATGAAACCGCTGTGCTGCCATGAGCCTCGGACTGACCGCGGCGCTCGTTGAACTTCCTTGACATTTTTCCATCTATCGGCAGTGCTTGCTGCGCCGCCTTCAGGCATGTATTTGTTTGCAGGTGTTGGCTTTGGGGAGGGAGAGGTTAGCCAGTGGCAGCGGTGAGTGCAACAGGCACACCCGTGTCATGCAGGAGTTATTGAGCAGTGGGAGTAGTTTTCTGATGATCTGACGTTTATGGTAGAGCGGCCCTTTGTTCAGCAAGCATTAGGTTGGCAACTCATTGCGCAGTTTGTCCTTTACGCTCCTGCTGTAATGGTGAGCAGGCTGCTGTCCAAACAGCACATGGCATTCACTGCATCGACGGCTTTTGCTGAGCGGGTGTAGGTGCAGGCGGCGGTGGTGCCGGTCATGACGGGCCCCGCGCGCGCCAACAGCTGTTCTGGCTCTGCTTGTGGCCAAAACCAGGAGGGTAGGGTGTGTTGGGTGGAGCAACTGGCAGGGCCACCAAGTTCAGCAGCCACGGCGAGCAGATGCTTGGTTCTGCTTGATGCGGAAAGTGTTGCCAGCAATACCACAGTGCCTTGCACACATCAAACGGGTGAAGCTGGACTGCACTCCCGTCCTTACGCGGGCTGTGCATCCAAACTGGCATCCAAACTGACAAACCTTCTTGCATGCGTTCTTTTGTAGCAAAAACATTCCAGGACAGAGCTACACATCCTTGCTTCCAGCGTGAGTGCAGAAGAGCTCGCTCCCCCTCACTCCCTGGGCCCTGACCCGACTGGGCTTTGACAAACAGCACTTGCAGCATCGACCAGGTGACGCCGCCGCCAAACCTGAATTGCGCAACGCTGACGTGCCGCAATCTGTTATTGTCTATGCTTTTTTTGGAGTCCTCGTTTATTTCTACACTTCAGCTGCACGTCGGCGAAGCCGCGTGATCAGGTGGCTCCATTGCCAAACTCTGCGCCGCTGTCTCTATTCAACATGCTGATTAATCACTTCATACTCCTGAATTCCACATCCATCACTAGCTTAGGTCCATAAAGCAAAGGTGGCACCGCCGTCAGGTGTGCAGCGGCAGCACACCTGACAGGGGTGAGGTTTGCCGCGGGCATGCAGAGTCTGCTGGTCACGCACTGCAGAAACCTATCAGGCATCTCCTTTCACATGGAAGCCACGCATAGGTGGTGAAAGTCTTACGCCTGTCTGAAGCAGAACAGAGGCGGAGGCGTGCAAGTGGCGGGGGTCGCAGTGCGGACGGCGTCAGCGGTTGGGGACGTCGCGTCTGCCAAGCTGCTTCTGCAGCTGTCGCTACCAGGTCACTTACAAGGGGATGGGCCTCCGCTCGGCGGCACCGCGCGTGCTAGCAGGTGCGTGTACCCGATGCGCAACAGCGCCAGGCAGGAGTGGGCCAGGAAGCCAAGCCAGGGGTGTGGCTGGGCCCAAGGGGCGGGCCGGGCCTCGCCTCACCTTGATGGAAAAGAGCGAGAGGTGTGTGTGGCGATGGGTCTTGAAAGCCTGGAATGCCACAGCCATCCTGCCTCTTTTGCAATAAATCCATCCCAACGGCGGACCCGTCGCGCCAACGCAGGCATGCTCCTGGGCGCGCATTCGCAACCCTGCGCGGCGGCGGCGGCGGCCGGGGCAGCAGCGGCGGCGGCGGCGGCGGCGGCGGCGGCTGCCGCGCAGGGGCGGGCCTTGTCTGCCTGGGCGCGGCTGGCCCCGCCGCCTCCCCCTGAAACCTGCGGCACGCGCCACAGGGCGCGCGTCCTGGACGGTGAGCGGCGGCAGCGCCGACGGGCCGCCTGGGGCTCAGCATTGCCTGCTTGCCGCCGGCACAGAGTGTGCACGATCCACGCAGCTCTGCAAGCCCCCGTCCGCTGTTGGGGGCAGTCGCTTGCACCTGCTGTCCTGCAATGGGCCGCAGATGCACCTCAACACAAGCACGTGTGCTAACTGAGCACACACCTTGCTTGCACGCATATGCGCATGCGTGCACAACAGTACACGTCCGATGCGCACGCTCACCCCAACACCCAACACCCACAAACAATTTGAGCTTTGAAGGATAAGCGTAGCATCTTGAGTTAGTGGTACCTCTCCCCCAACTCTCCATATGCAAGCACATGCTCACAGTTTGACAGCAACAATCTCACGCACACACACGCACACACACACACACACACACACACACTCATGCACAATTGCACACGCTCGCTGTCCGCTCAGGCCGTGCCGTCGCAGCCGAGTGGCTGGATCATCTGTCAGCCGAAGCCGCCGACCTCACGCGGCTCATGGGGCGGCCCCCAGGCCTGGCCGTGGTGCTGGTGGGGGAGCGCCCCGACAGCTGCCTGTACGTGTCGCGCAAGCAGGAGGCCGCGGAGAGGGCGGGCATAGCCTGCGAGGTGCACAGGCTCGCGCAGGTGTGTGTCCATGGAGGGGCTGAGTTCAGGGTGCCAGGGCGATGGAAGCGGCAGTCCGTGGGTGTGCTCGGACCTTGTTGTGCGGCAAGCTTGCTCTTACGCATGCTGTTTGGCACTGGGCGGTTTTCTTTCACATGACTCACTCACATATACATACACACACATACGCACACACATACGGCAGGACGTGAGCCAGGAGGCGCTGTGCGCCAAGGTGGCCTCGCTGTGCGCTGACTCAGCGGTGGACGGCGTCATCGTGCAGCTGCCCCTGCCAAAGCACCTGGATGAGGAGGTGATTGGGGCCCTCAGCACTGGAAATAGGGATTTTTTGGCAGGGTGAATTGAAGAGGCACACACCCTCACACCAAAGTGTGTGTGAGTGTGTGAGTATGTGAGAGTGTGTGTGTGTGCGTGC